TACGCACACGCCCGGAGTTTCTCTGAGAACAGCCATGCCAGGTCAGCAGGGAACAGACAGATCCGCTAGGGCCCCCTCACTTACCATGTCCCCTTAAAAGTCACAGCCTCTTGGTGTTTACGCTGAAGCTCAGAATTTCTGTCTTGCCTTTGTTTTTCCCAAAGCCAAGTCCAGAGACAGACAAGGGCCTTCCCAAGGTCACACAGCAGGCCCAGGACAAAAGCTGGCCGCGAAGCCAGTTTTCCGCTCTCTACAGCCTGGTCTGCCCAGAGCTGCGGCAGATGTCCTGGGGCCACGGTCGCTGCCCCAGCTCGGAGTCTCCCCTCTTCTACCGTCCCCTGCATGCTCACCTGAGGAATTCCTCTTGGTGACACCAAAGAAGTCCTCAGAAAAGCAACAGTGAGAATTTCTTGGAAAGGGAGCCAAGTATAGAGATCTAGAGGCAATAGCAGCTTGTGGTGACAGAAGGTCTCCTGGGGTGGGGGGAGACTATGGGTGTCACTCAGGGTCGGAGCAGGAAGCCCAGCAAGCCCTGAAAAATAAGCCTACCAAATCAAGGCTTGGGGAACTTCCCGGAATGTAGCTAGTTCCAGTCCCTTCCAGGCATGATGTCCGTTCATGCCCCCTCACCCCCATCTGTTGTTGCCACCTTCCTTGTCCCTCCGGTGTCGGGATGAAGCTCGGGGCACCAACGTTCAAAGTTCTAAAGGGGCTTTCCTTCCAAGCCCTCAATCGCTCAACTGCAAGAAACACAAGTGTCTCCAGTCTGGCAGGCTCCTCCTGCAGCCAGAGCCCTGGGTTTCTTCCAAAGCTGGGACACTCAGGCACCGCCCTGGCTCTCCCTGGCTCAGTGCTGCTCCCTCCATGCTCCGATCACAGCTGCTGTGGGCCTGGATCCATCTTCCCGGCCAGCCACTCCCTGCCACGACCAGGCCAAGTGACCATGGCATTTGTCTCTGGTCTCGCCTGGCCAAGCGTTTGTAAGGTGGTCGGTGAAGAATGAAAAATAGGTGCTTTGTGCGGCGCAGACTAACCCTCCCCCCCCACCCCGGAGACCCCTGCTGAACTGTAGTTTAGAGGTCAGCTGCCTGGGCCACGGGTCAACAGGGAAGTGATTGATCTCCCTGCCTGCTGCCCAGGAGCAGGAGGAGAGGGCCTGGGGGGAGACTCGACACCCCCCTGCCCTGGGCCCTTCTTGAGCACAGCACCCTCAGCCCCACCCCACTCCGCCCAACCCCTGTGCCCAGAGAGCCTGCCCCCTTCGCTAGAGGTAGGACCAGCAGGGATACTCAGGGTGGGTTCCTTGGGAGGCCACCTCCTTGCTCCTTGAACCAGGGAGAGTTCAGGATTGCTGGAGTGGGGTGGGGTGGGCATCTCCCCTAAGGTCCCAAAGCATTTAGAAAAGTTGGAGGCCCATGCCAGATCTTGCTCTGGACAGATCAGCCTGCAGGAGCCAGAGGTCATCCAGTCCAAGCCTGTAGTTCCTCTCATCGGAAACCAAGTCCAGGGAGGAGAGGCCCTGCCCTAGCGCCCACTGGGCTCTCTCTCTGCCCTCCCTGTGAGTTCCTCACCCCCGGAGCTAGGCAGAAGCTGGGGTGGCGGTGGGTTGGGCAGTGGGCTCTGAAGCTCAGGATGGGGCAGGGCTAGCTGGGGCGGCCACGAGCTAATTATTCTGCCCTTGTCCCCCACCCCCACCCCGGGCCTCCTGCCTGGCTCTTCCTGTCCCTGGATGCCGTGAGGAGTGGCCAGGGCTGTGCTGGCTCAGGCAAAGCCTTGTGGCTCCACTGTCCAAGGCCAGCACCTTTGGATCTTTGCAGCCCTGACGGCACTTTCCCAGGGGGCTGGGTGAGGCTGCTGCTGGGGCAGGGCAGAGCTGTCCCTCCCCAGACTGTGGGGGCAAGTCTAGTGTCCCTTGGACCCTCATCAGTTCCCCCTGCCTGCTGTCCCCTGCCCTGCTTATCCATGCTCTCCGAGGCTGGGACCTTTATCTCCAGCTCCACGTGACATTCCCCTGTGGGCCAGTGACAACCACCGATGCCCCTTGATTCAGCCAGACTCTTTGCAGCTGGGCTTGAGAAGAGCTCTGCAGGCAGCCTCCCCTTTCCCTTCCCACCCCACAGACGTCCCTGCTCATGGGTCCTGCCCATGGCCTCGATTCACTCAAACTCTGGAGTTAGAGGCTCCCTGGTCACCCCAGGTTCTGGCGAAATGTGCAGATCGTCTGTGGTCTCTGCTTTCTGGAAGGAGTGAGGCTCAAGGCCCCACGGCCACGAATGGCCCCAGAGCGGGGCGAGTGCTGCATTTGGGGGACGCGGGAGCGGAGTGAGCAGAGCTCGGGGCTTTCCCAGGAAAGGACACGGAGGGGCGGGGGGCGGCAGACCACGCAGGGGCCCTTCCTCCTGCAAAGGCTGAGTCGAAAGCCCGGCGAAAGGGCTTTCGGAATCAGCCGCACGCTCCCCCCGGTGGCCACCGGGAGATCTGCGCCCTCAGCCCGAGGCTGCGGGAAGTTGTGCGGTTGGGAGTCAGTCCTCCAATCACCTCCCGGACCTGGCTGTCCTTTGTGACTTCACAGCGGTCTGCGATGTGGAAAATCCCAAAGTGAAGTGAAAGTTCAGCAACTCCCAGTCCCTGTGACCTTCCTGGAGAGGGAGGGGAACACGTTCCCGAGAGTCCTGGCCAGGGAGCAGGCCCCAGAGCTCAGACCGCTGCTGCACGGGCCCACCCCAAGGTGCATATGCGGCAGGGCTGGGGGCTCCTGGGTATCCGCGGACCAGTGAAGCCTCACGTCTCACAGGGAGGGAGGCTCGAGGCAGGGTTAGAGGGGAAGTGGCTCATGCGGGATCACGTCCTCTCCAGAGCGGCTGGGATTCCCCTCCGTGTGTGCCAAGCTCCATAGAACATTCTAGAATCGTGACTCCTCTCCACTTCTCTTACTTCTCCCCACGTGGCCCACAGGCCTGGAATACCCCTCTTCTTATCTGCCTTGCTGCTACACCCAAGAGGTTTTGGAGCCCGCCCCCTCCGGAAAGCCCCCTGGCCGCAGCTGGCCCATTCCTGCACGTTCTCCCGCCCTGGTGTAAGGGCTCAAGCGTGTGCCTGTCTCCTGCATGCAAATGCTGAATCCTGCTTAAGGGTTCGGCCCATCCAGTTTTACTTGTCACCAGTGAGCCAGCATCACGAGGACTGTCGTGCTGAGCTGCAAGCTGCCAGGCCTTCCCTGTGTGGCTCCTGGTCTCCCCTGGAGCTTCTCCCCCAATTGCGGGCCTTCTCGTGCCCCGCAGCTCTCCAAGGCAAGGCGGGAGTGGGGAGTCGCCTTCCCCCACCCTCCCTGGGTGTCGCTGTGGTGGCAGGAGCCTGCGACGGGAGCCAGAGAGCCGGGCTCTAGCTCTGGCTTGGCGAGGCCTGGCCGTGTCACCCCGGACAAGTCACTGCTTCTCTTGAGGCCTCGGCTTCCCCTTTTGCAAAATGAAACTTGTCTATTTTGCTAAGGACCCTCACTGCTCAAGCCTTTTGTGATTCTGTGATTGTTGGTGGTCTTCAGGGCCCAGGGGCAGTGGGATTAAGCCAAAGAACTTAATTCCCAAGCGGAATGGCGGTCCCCACTGTTCATGCTGAACTCCAGCCACTTGCTGCTGTCATTGGTTCTCCTGCCGGATCTCCCCTGCCCTCTCTGGGAAGCTTGCAGACCCGGATGAGGAAAGCAGACACTAGGTGGTGCCACCATCCTGCCATCCCTCCAGCCTCCTGGGAGGGAGAGGGAAGATGGGCTCTGTCCTGAGATCAGAAACTCCCAAATGGGAGCCGGCTGCAAGGCCTGGGGCCTCACAAGGAACAGGGCCTAAGGAAGGTGGGCCCCGGTGGGAGAAGTAGCCTGACAGCATCTCAGGCTGGACTGTCCTGGGCGGGCTGCTGTCTCCACGGCAGGGGCTAGGAGCAAACGGAGCAATGGTCTCACCCTCACTGCCTCCTCCCTGGGCCCTGGCCCTGGCTTAACCAAACCAGCACCCACATAGGTGAACGACAGTGGGCCCATTTGGGGTTACTTGACCCCAAGAGCAGAAAGGGGGCCTGAGCCTCATACCAGGAAGGGGAGAGGGAGAGGGCTGGTTTTCTTGGAGCATGTGCTGGGGCCCTACACCAGCCCCCCCAGGCCCAGTGGTGTGCTTGGGGGAAATGGCAGAGCACACGGATGTGGCCACAGACAGGTGCATCACTGGCAGCCCAGGGCGTCTTCGCAGCAACTCCTGTGCAATGTCACAGCTAAGGCTTCCAACAGCACACCCGGTGCCTGGGGCACAGGCCTTACCAGTATCCTACAGACCCAACAACTTTGAACATGTTCTAACAAAGGGAATGGCAAAGAGACTTTCTGTCTGCTTAAAACTTCCCCTACTCTTTTTGGGAACTGCAGCCTGGCCTGAATCCCTGAGGCAGGTTAGTCTTTTGTTAAAACTCCCAGGTGGCTCCAGCCCCCAGGTGGGCGGCTGGCAGAGTTCACAGGCTTTGTCTTTGGCAGAGATGGGACGATTAGAATAGTTAACCACAGTAATTGCCTGAAGCTGGGAACCCTCCCTTTAAAAGCTCTGTATTTCTGCCTATGTTTGGGAAATTGGGGATTTTGAGCCGAGAAGGTCTACCATTTTTCCTCCTTTGCAAGGTAAGCTCTCTTTCTCTTCTCCTCAAACTGCTTGTCCTCATTCTTCTGACTCGGCCTCATGGACAAGTAGCCAAGCTTTCAGTAACAATGTGGGCCTTCCAGATGTCCCCCAGACATTTGGAAACTAGGCTGAGGTCTCTGTCCCCAGGGTGCCTGTCAATGCAGGCGGTGAAGAGTGGCCTACAGATGACAGTACTAAACTTCTTGCTTTTATAGGCAGTAGGTGCCCAAGCAGTTAATCGAGAAACAAATGAGACCAGGCTGTATGTGTGCTCCAACTTGGAGAAGTGGATGGTGACAATTGTGGGAGGGAGGGAAGGAGGGAGGCAGGTCAGGGAAGGAGCCATCTCTGAAGCCGGTTTTATTATGAGCACGAGGTGGCACAGGGCAGGAGGTGGCACAGGGCAGGAGGCGGCAAGGCCCACCCGGGGTCACATTGAGCCTGGCACTTCCTTCAGCCTGAGCGCTGGCAGTGATGGGGACAAAGGTCCAGAGCCCAGGGAAGACAGGAAGACACCAAAGATGGGCCTCCTTGGCTTCCCAGCCAGCCCCAGCGCCGTGGGTGGGCACAGCTCACTCTGAAAAGACAAAGGCAGGACGTGGGCTGGGCGGTGGTGGCAGTGGCTGGGGTTTTTGTCCCCTCCAAGTCCATCCCCAGGGCTCCCCACAAACTCCTGCATCTCACACTCCAAGCCAGGCCCCTGGCCATCACCTTAAAACACAGGATGGGGCGATGGGTGCCAGGGCACCTGGCTGATGCCTGGATGACCCTAAAATTCTCCCCTACCCAGTCAAAGAGCCGGCTCTTCCTGTTGCCCCCCCAGCCTGCCCTGCCCACCCCTCCCTGTCCCTTCAAATGTACCTGCCATTACAGGTTGTCTTCACTGACTTGCCTGAGTGGAGGAAGGAAATGACAGGTAAGAGCGCAGGGGGAGGGGTAAATCCAGGGGTCCCCGATGTTGGGGATCCCTCCACTGCAGAGGCAGAGACAAACTCTTGGCCCACCCCTTCTTTCCCCAGCCCCCACCTGCCTCATCAGCAGCCCCGACAGCCGCACTCACCTGCGCTGCTTGTTGCCCCCACAGCGGAATCTTTTGCCTTGAAAAGGGAAGAAGAGGTTTGTTACATCGACCTCTCATTTTCCAAGGAGACCCCAGAAGACTCACCTCTTCCAGTTTCTCCTCCCTCCTTCCTGCAGAATCACCACGGCACTGGTTTGGAGGCCACCACATTTGATCCTGTCTCTCTTTACATAGAGTGGACCACAGGCATTCGAGGGCCTAAGTCAGTCAGTCGACACACACTCACTGCAGCAGATCCGTGCTGGAGTGTGAGTACATTGGCAGCAGCGGCTGAGACTGGGCCACCTGGTGCCCCCACCACAGTGCTGGGCACACAGTAGCTGCTCAGTAAACACTTGGAGAAGGAGGGCAGTGAGTCCGAAGCTGAGATCCTTCCTCGGGCCTCTCTGCCTCCTAAACCTGTGTGCTCAGCCACTGCCCAGCACTGCCCTCGAGTGGCTCACAACAAGCAAATCGGGACCCCAGCCTCAGCACCTGCAGCAGGAAGCCTTCGATGGAGCGGCAGAGCCTGTGATGTGTTAGAACTCCAGAACACAGAGGCGTGTTTGCTGCATAATGTCTTCTTTTTATTGGCTGTGTTTCCGTGTATTTTTTTTTTTTTTGGTTGCACCAAAACAAGTCACCAAGCATTTATTAAACTGCTGTGTGCCTGCTAGGGCTGGGGCATTTGTAAAGACCCCTCTCTCCAGCAGAACATCCCATATCTACATTGGACCCCTCTAAAAGTACTTTCTTAACTGTTAGCCCTAATCTTGGGAGGCAAGTGGGATCGTCCCTATTTAACAGGTGAGCAAACTGAGGCCCAGGAAGTTTAGGATGCATAGTAAGTTAGCAGCGGGGCCCCCAGGGGCTGGCTCCCAGCCACGCTTGCTTTCCAGCAGCGGGGAGCCGGGTGCTCCCCGGCTCAGCTGAACCCAGCTCTGCTTCTCGTGGGCTGTGGAACCCTGGGCAAGTTGCTGCACCTCTCAGGATGGTTGTGATTTTCGTCTGTAAAATGCTGACAGTAGTGGCATCCCCAGTGTTGCTGAGAAGACTCAGTGGGATTTAGCTCAAGCCTAAGAAGGTGCCCAAGTCAGGGCGGGTGCCCAGCTCCCCTTGCCTGGCCCTCCTGTTCACCCTGCAGGGTCCCAGGATCAGGAGCCCACCCTCCCATCTCGGCAGCTCCCCCCGGCTCCACTAGAGGGTGCACTGGAGGAAGAGGGAACTTCACACTGTGGTCCCAGGTCCAGGTGGCCTGGTCCAGGTGGCCTGGCATCCCAAGGGCATCCATTCCCACCTCCGGGGGGTGGGGTGGGGGGTGGGGTGGCAGGAGAGGCCCACCCCACCCTTGGGGGCTCTGGGAAGCCAGTGTGCTCAGTGGCTTTGAGAAGAGATGTACCCCGACCCAGTGCCCCCTTCTAACACGAGGCCACCCCACTTACTGAGGATGATGAGGAGCCCCACGACGAAGGCCAGGCCGGCGAAGATCAGGCCCCCGTTGCGGACAGTCTCATAGTCTAGGGAAGAAGAGGCAAGAGAAGTGGGATGGGCTGTCCCCCCGGCAGCCTGTCCTGGCAGCAGCCCCGCGGTAACCGGGGGCGGCGAGGGGCACATACACAGGCCCAGGCCTGGGGGAGGCTGGGAGCCAGCTGCCTGGGGGTGGGGGGGACAGGAGGGTTCAGGAAGGGGGGCCAGTTGGCTTACCATAGTAGAAGGGGTCCACGTCCCCCTTGGGGCTGCCACCTGAGGAGAGAGCCAGAGGTGGGGTGAGGGGAGGTCACAGACGGTGGCCCAGCCGCAGGGGCAGTTGGAACCCCGTTCTTCCCTTGCCAGTGGACTCCAAGGGTCCCAGTGGGCAAGGGCAGCTGGTGGGCCTGCTAAAACCTCGGCCGGTGGGGCATCGGCCCTACGCTGCTTCAGGCAGTTCCCTGGGGACCAAATACGGAGCATGCAAAGTGGGGCCCATGCTGTCTGGGGGGCCCTGCAGCTCTGGGAGGGGTGAGTTCTCTCCTGCTCCTCACTTCTTCATACCACAGTAAGAAAACGCCAAGAAAGACACTTCCGTTGGGCTCGCCAGCCGCCGCTCCTCCTAGAACTGATCAGCTACAGGTGCTTGGCCGACATTTGTGACATGAATGAATGAATAAAACAGAACCTTAAAGTTCATTGAACGGAAGTTGGAAACCAAGGCCCAGTTTGGAGACTTAGCCAAAGTCTTAATGGAAGTTGGAGGCAGAACTGGGTCTGGACTTGGGTTTCTAGACCTTGCTCTCCTATGTGACCATCCTCAGGGGGAAGCAAATTGATTTAAGAAACAATATATAGTGTTTGCCCAGGGCCAGACTAAAGCTAACAAAACACTGATTGATTTAGCCATTATAAAAACTCTATGAGGCATTAATATTATTCCTATATAATCCATAATAATATAGAGGCACAGAGAGGTCAAGTAACTAACCCACAGTTGCACAGCGATTAAGGAGTAGCACTGGGATTTGAAACCAGGCAGTAGGTGGCTAAGAATCTACATGCTTAAGCCCTTTGCTATACTGCCTCTCAGATAGTAGGACGGAAGGAGACCGTTCACATCAAGGTCATCCGTTCATCTAGTCCTGCCCCCGCCTCCCGTGGCCTCTGCCTGAACCTGGGGGTGGGCTGCCCAGCAGCCAGCAGATCTCACAGTTGTGCCCTCCAGCCCCGGAGCTGAGGCCACTTGCTGTGGGCAGCTGGAAAGTGGCCTGGCCAGGGCTTTTCTGGCACAGCTGAGGGCTGCCCCTTTCTCCTGCCCTGTTCGAGCCCCTCCTGGCACCAGGGAAGTGGTGCCCGAGGCCAAAGGAATGTGCGAGTCGGCACCTCCTGGGCAGTGCTGGACTGTGCCCCCAGTGGGTGGCCTCGGGGCCCCGTGAGCCCAGCTGTCCCCAGCAACCCCTCCTGAGGCCAGAGAGAACAGGCAGGGGGGTCAGTGCCTGGTCCCGCAGGGCTTGAGGTGCTGCTTGCTCAGGAAGGCCAGAGGCCTACGAGGGGACATGGCAGGGCACCCGGGACCCTGTCACCATGAAGAAGGCCTTCAAGGTTGTCTTCCCAGATTCAGTTCAGGTCTTGTTCAAAGTCACATGGAGATTTAGTGTCGGAACCATGGCTAGACCCAAGCCAGGACTCCCCTTGGCACCCCAGGAAGCCGCCTGCTCCCTGACCACCTTGTCTTGAGCCATCCGGTGAGCCGCTCGCCCACCAACCGCCTCCCGTTCTCTAGATCTGCTCAAATCCTACCTCGGTCAGCAGGTGCCCCATCGGCCTCCAAGCCTGAGTCACCCCCCATCACAGGATGCCTTTGGGGAGTGTATCCTGAGCCCCATCCAGCCTGGGAGGTTGTGCTCCTGCTTCGGCCAGACAGACCCCCTCCTCAAACTGAGTTCAGATGGTCTATCGAGGTACGTGGAACCGGGCAGGTGCGTGCCAGAAAGGCAAGGACAGCAGCTCAGCCCACCAGCTTTGACCTGCAGCCCAAGTTCTGCCGTGCAAGCTGTAATTCTTTGGGTTAAGGCAGGGTCCTCTCTTAAGGTGCAAATTTTCTTAGAGAAGAGGCTGGCACCTTGAGGGGGCTGGGTATTCTGGAAGGCAGAGGTGGCAGGAGACGGAAGAGTGGGGTCCAGCTCACCCCTCCAAAGACGGGCCAAGCAGAGCCACCTGCTGTGCGCACACACACACACACACACACACACACTCACCGTCGTCTGTGGACAGCCCTGCCATTTCCTCCGCCAGCTGCCCTTGTCCTGCTGCCTCTGCTTCGGGGAGACTACCTAGCCGCGGGGTGGCCAGGGACGAGGTGGGGGCATTAAACATTAACAGTGCCAGGTAATATTTACCCTGGTCACAAGAAACGCCACGGTGTGGACAGAGGGGCTCCCGCCGAGGCGAGAGGAGGTGTGCAGGGGCAGGGAGCAGCTGGCTGGGTTTTCAAACCGTCCCAGAGGAAATTTCCAAAGAGCAGGGCTGGGAGGGGTCAGCAGTGGTGTTCTTCCACCGGCTGCAGAAGCCACAGCTGGCGCCATGGGGACGGGACAGTGGAAGTCCAGAAGCACATTCAGTGTGTGTGGCACGTGGGAGCAGGCGGGGCAACACCGGGGGTGCACAGAGGCCTCCACCCGGGCCGTGCCCACAGCGCCAGCCCCCACGGACGCTGCCTCTCAGCTGGCGCTCCTTACCTCGCACCCAAGCCTGGCCTGTCTCCCTCCTACGGCACCCCTTGGGGACCGCCCGAGCCACCAGCACATTCATCCTCCACGTCTCTGCTGCCGGGGAAGGTCCTGGCCTGTGTTATCTTATCCACCCATCAAGGTGCACCTGGCAGCTCACACCTCAGCCGGAAGGGCTCCAGCCATCCCCGACCAATCTCTCCTTCTCTGCTGCCCCTGGCACTTCCTCCTGCAGTCATTTGGCCGGCTCTGGAGCTGTTTCCGTGCCAGTGTGCCACGGAGCATGCAAGGAGCAAGAGCCGGGACGCTCTGCTTTTACTTCTTTATTTCTTTCTTCTTCTTCTTCTTTTTTTTTTTTTTGAGATAGAGTCTCACTTTGTTGCCCAGGCTAGAGTGAGTGCCATGGCGTCAGCCTAGCTCACAGCAACCTCAAACTCCTGGGCTCAAGTGATCCTCCTGCCTCAGCCTCCCAAGTAGCTGAGACTACAGGCATGCGCCACCATGCCCGGCTAATTTTTTCTATATATATTAGTTGGCCAATTAATTTCTTTCTATTTATAGTAGAGATGGGGTCTCGCTCTTGCTCAGGCTGGTTTCGAACTCCAGAACTCGAGCAATCCACCCGCCTCAGCCTCCCAGAGTGCTAGGATTACAGGCGTGAGCCACCGCGCCCGGCCCTGCTTTTATTTCTTACAAAGCGCTTTCCTCACTGTTACCTCCCTGAGCTGTGCATTAGTTCCCCATGTCATAGATGAGATGAGGCACAGAGAGGTGGCCGGCCTTGCCCAAGGTCACACAGCTGATGAGGGGCAAGGTGGAGACTGACAGTCAGGCCTCTGGCTTCAGGAGTCAGGTGCTCTCCCTACCTCCCAGGAGGCCTCCCCACGCCACTGTGACCTCCTTCACCTTGGGGACTCCAGTGCCAGCTGCTCTGTGGGTACTGCAGAGTCCTCACTGAGTTCTAGACCTCTGTCTTGGCCTCCAGAAGAGGCTGATGCCCAATGGCAGCCAAAGGGCCAAGACCAGTGATCACTGTCCACCAGGGGCGGTTCCCTTCCAAAGGCAGTCGCTGCCTCTGTGACTCCTCCTCGAGCAGTGGCAGGGATCGACATCTGACTCCACACCCTGGCTCCTTCACTTGCTAATCATACGGCCTCTGTCAATTTCTTAGCCTCTCTGCATCTCAGTTTTCTCATCTGTGAAATGGGCACAGTTCCCCCCTCCTAGGGTTGCCGTGAGGAGTGAGATGATGCACCTGAAGAGCGTGGCATGGGGCCTGGTACACAGTAAGCATCATTTTTGTTAGCGTTGCATTTGTGTTGAACAAAGAAATTACAGGCATTAGCCTTCTGTTGGACGTTAGCTGTTGAACGCAGAAAAGCCATCCACCCTCTGATGCAAACGAGCGTGAACGAGTGAGATGGCGAGAGACAGCGCCAGGGCCCTGCAGACCAGGAGCGGCAGCACCTGTTCAGCTCCCTTCTGCTTCCGAAAATATTGCCGCAGAGCTAACGTTCGGTAAGCGTGGGCCCCGGGCCAGGCTCTTTGTGTGCCCTGCCCCACTGAATCCTTGTTAGCCTCATTTTACAGGTGAGGACACCACGGCTGATTGTTTGCTTCTCCCAACAACCCCAGGAGGCGGCCGAGGCAGGGCTATGATCCCCACTGGGCACACTGGAAAAACTGAGGGCAGGGAGGTGCTGGGACTTGCCTGCAACACACAGTTCATGGCAAAGTAGAGCCAGAAAGCCCAGATTCTCAAGGCCGTGCTCCCAAATCTCCTACCACTGTCTGCACAAGACAACGGTGCCCCCTTTGCTATACGTGATTATGTTATGGTATTGTATCCCGTCTACTTCTGTAAGCCACCGTGCATCCTTTCTGGAATAATAAGATGTAAAAATAGACAGGAAGTTAGATAGATGATTGATAGATATGGCTGATAGATCGATCAATCAATAGATAGATGGATAATAGGAGACACTAGGGAAAGCAAGTTGACAGCTGCATTTTTGAACTTGGTGTGCAAGGGGCTGTTCTAAGCTCTTTATAGAAATTAACCCTTTCTTCACCACAGTGGCTCTATAAGGTAAGGAATGCATTTTTTATCACCCCCATTATATAGAAGAAGAAACTGAGGCACAGAGAAGTTGAATAACTTGCCAGAGGTCAGGCAGCTAAGAAGTGGAGGAACCAAGATGTGAAGCCAGCAGTCTGTCTGGCTTCAGAGCTCCCGCAGGTGGGTGGGTGGACAGACAGGCGGATGGGGAGGCTGTCGGCCAGGCTGTCTTCCAGCTCTTGCAGCTCAGAGACCCCCCGCACACCTGCCACCACAAGCCTGCGACTCTGCACAGACGCGCCCTTGCCGGGAAATTCTGCCTCTCCTCCCTTCTGCTTTTCCTGCACTCCTGGGGAGCTGGTGGGTTCCCCGGAAGGTGACAGGACGGACATGAGAGCCTGAGAAGGGGGAGGGATGGGACGCAGGGCACTCACTCAGGTACCACCTGTCCATGGCAGGAGCTGCTTGCTGAGCCTGCGAGTGCGAGAGAGCCGTCCCGTGAAGTGCCGCTTGCTCAGGCGCTGGACAGAGAGAGTGGCACTTCCTCCCTCCGCACGTCAGCTGGGCCCACGGACTGGAAGAGACACAGGCAGGGGAGGGGCTGGCAAGGGAGTCCTTACCTGGCACCCACCTGCAGGGGCGGGCTGGGGCGAGGGATCCACGTGAGAGCCCGGGACATTCTCTGACCTCCACCTGGCAGCTGAGGAAGGAGATGCAGCCCCTCGCAGCCCCTCTCCCTGCCAGGGCGCCCAGGGAGTGTTGCCAGGAGCCGGCAGGGCACTGGCCAGGGCCCCCACTCTCAGCAGGCCCCCGGGCTGGTGGCAGCTGAGGGAGACACTCAGGGGCATCTGTGAGTCCCCGAGCTGTACCCAGCTGCCCCTTCATCCTCCAGCCCAGCTGGGCCTTTGCCTGAGCTACCTGCCCCGGGCCCTGCTCGGTGGTGAGGAGTCCCCTGAGAGGGACAGAAGAGCAGCAGGCTCTCGGGCGCTGCCCATTATGGGACTCAGAATGTTGTTTTTCAGGGCCCAGTCCTGGGGCCGGGGGCAGCTCCCCGTGTCATTCTGGTAGTCGGCAGAGAGACGGGAGCAGCTGCGGGGCGGGGGCCTGGAGCTGGGGTGGAGGCCGCTCCTATGACCCATCCTGTCCTCAGTGGGGACCCCTCACTTCGTCCCCCAGACTCACCAGGCTGTGATGTCAGCCCTGCCCGCCACACCTCAGAAGACTCACCCGAGACTCCAGCAGCCTAATGAGGCCCCTGGGAGTTGGCGCCAGCAGGGAGCGGCCGGAAGACAGCGCTTCTGGGCCCCGGCCAGCAGCACGCGGCAGAGCAGCCCCCCACGCTGGCTCCCCGGAGCCCTGTTCCCGGCCACCAAGCCCCGGAGGGGCCGGAGCAAGGCCGTGGCGAGCAATCTCTGTGCACCGGCTTGAGGCCACAGGCCCTCCCTCAGGTTCCTGTGGCCGCCCTGGCGGGGCGACCCCAACGTCGACACCGGACAGCAGAGTCTGGGAGGGCCTGGTTCTCCCTCCGACACTGCGCTCTGGTCACCCTGACAATTCGCCTCTCTGTCCCTGCTTAGCAACACTCCCTGTGCCGAGGGGAGGACTAATGACACCCCAGGGAGTTGCCTGGGGGCTGAAAACACTCTGAAAATGGAAACCAGGAGGCCTGGGGGCGTTGTCCGGATGTGCTGAGAGCCGTCCTGGGACTCGTGACTCTGAGCCCTTCCCCGCCAGCCAGAGGCAGGGCCAGACCTGCTGGGCAAGAGGCCCTGTCACATGCTACCGAGTGGACACCTGGACACTCAGACAGCCCAGAGCCGCAGAGCAGACACTCCCCGAGCTGGGCGCCTCGAGAGGCTCCTACATCTCAGGGGACGATGGGACTGTAGGGCGCCCTGGCCCACACATATTATCAGGGGGCCAGAGAGGTGCAGGTCTCAGCTGGAACCCCCAGTCCCCGTGTACACACTCCGTGTCCCCACCTAGCCCCAGTGCTGTGAAGGGAGGCATCTCCCTCCCAGAAACCCCACGTTCTAGACCGACTAACTGGAAAGGACTCCACGGCCATCCCATCCAAACCCCTCACTTAACAAACCATTCGCTCTCCTGCTCAAAACCCTCAGAGGGCTCAGAATATAAGCCTGGATCCTTTCTGTGCCTTAAAAAGACCTTGTTAATCTGGCCCCAGTGACCTCTGAACTTATCTTTAACTCCCCTGCCCTGTTCTCCACTCCAGACATACTGGTCTCCTTGAAGGTCCCTCTCCCTCCAGGGCATGCTCCTGCCCCAGGGCCTTTGCACGGGTTATTTCCTCTTCCTGAACACTCCACCTCCAGAGAGTTTCCTGGCTAAACTCATGCTGCCCTCGGATCTTTGTTCACAGACCCAACTCTGAAGACCCTTCTCGGCATCCCTGTCTGAAATTTTGACACCCATCCCCTACTCAGCTGTATTTTTTCTCTGTGGCACTTATTCTTACCTAAGTTACTAATATTTTCCTTGTCTGTTTGTCTCTCTTTCCACTAGAATTTAAGCTCCAGGACAGCAAGGATTTTTGTTTGTTCATTGCTAGATCCCTAGTGCCTGGAACGGCACGTAGTGGACCCTCGGTTTTAGCAAATGAATGAGTCAGTGCAGAGAGGTGGAATCTTCTCACCAGTGGTGCAGGCGACCAGGACTTGCCCAAGGCGCCCTCTTTCCACGCTGTCACCTGCCCTGCAAAAGGTAGCAAGACCTAGTTTGCACTCACTGAGAGAAAGCAGGTGGCTGGCAACCCCCACCTTGCCGACAGCTCCCCCGAGTCCCTCTCAAGGGTGGGGGCTTCTCTCTCACTCCTCTTGCACCCCAATCCCTGCCCCCTCCTCTCCTGTCCTCCCCAGCCCTGTGACAGTTTTCAGGAAAGTGTCCATTTGTCCTTTGAGGGGAGTCCCGGCATTCTCTAACAGCTGGGGAGGTCCCACCCTCTCACCTCACTAACCCCAAAGTCTTTCCTCAGACTTCTTTCTTGTCCTCCCCCAGGTGGCTGAGGTCACCTGGTCACCAGCAGGCACTGGGGACAAGCAGCCTCTCTCTGAGGAATCCCACTGCCCTGCGGAGAGGCCCCGGCCCCTTCAACCATGGTCTATGTTGCCGAGAGCAGCTCGGATCAGGAGCATCTCTCCCACCATGTGTCCATCCGTGCAGGGCCACCGTGAGGGCCAGACACACTCACACTTCCATCCCTCTGCAGCCTGATCCTTCACTGCATGGCCCTAGGCAGGCCATCTGTCTGGGCCTCCTTCTCCCACCTGTCAGGTGGGATGCTGGCACCTACCTTGCAGGTTGTCATAGGGGTGGAGACAATGCAGGTGACGCACTTGGCCGAAGAAGGTCCTAACGAATGGCGACTGCATTCTCCCTACTCCAGCTGGCCCCTCGGGAGATAAGAACACACGCTGCAGTCCCTTCCCTTGGCTCAGTCCCCACGTGGGTGGTCTCTGAAGCAGGATCCCTGAGAGGACCCTTCCCTCCCTGGCTCTCCAGCTCAATCTCTGCCAGCCACCACTCTCCCCAAATCTCCAACCCCCCCCTCCCCCCTACACGGCTTTCCCCACTGGTGTCCGGCCCCAGGTCTGGTTCTTCCAGCCCTTGTTGAGAGGATCAAGCCACCCGGGGTGGGGGCACTGCTCTGCTGTCCCTGGAAGGCTACGGGGCAGGCAGAGGCCCCCAGCACCCTCTTTTGTCTGAGACAAAGAGGATCACAGAGCTGTGCTCTCTTGTTCTTTCCAAGACCCAGAGATCTGGGAGATCTTTGGGATATAGGGAGAGTAGCCCCAAGTCCCCGATCCCTCCTTCAGCACCGTCGCACCCAAAGGGACAGTGCCCCCAGTTGCTATGCCTCTGTCTCCCATCCCTTAATCAGGCCCCCCTTTGTCCCCTGGCTTCTAAGTCTCAAGGCAGCAATCCGGGGTGGTCACTGTTGGGTCGGTAGGGTAGGGAGGTGACAGGCTGGGACATCAGCTGCCCTCTGTCTGTCTCCCTGGTGATCAAAGGCAAGCAACAGAGCAGAGGCCTCACCACCAGCCTTCCTAAGATGGGGCTCCCAGCTCCGCCAGCCCGGGGCTTCGTGAGGGCTGCCTGTCCACAGCTTTGAATTCCAGGTCCCCACATCAATTCCTCCTGGTGTTGGCTCGGAGCTGGAAAGGGGATTCAACGAGGTGGAAACCAGAAGCCCTGGAAAGCCCTGACCTCCGGTCCAAGTCAGTCCTCAGTCGCATGCCACGCGTCGCCACTGGGCAGGGAAAGGGGCCGTTCTTGGGCCCCATCTGTGCACCCAGAGGTCCTGAACCCCGAAGAGCCCTGGCTCCCGAGTCCTGCTATGGCCGCAGATGCCAGGTCACTGGGGTCTTATAAGGCGGGACTGGAAGGAGGTGGGCCCTGGAGGGGCTTAAGTGTCGGCTTCAAGATGGCCTGAGCCATGGGGCACAGAGGTCCTGGGAACTGCCAAAGGGCAATGTACTCTAAGAGTCAAGGTCACCAGCTGGTGACAAGGGCAAACCCATTTGACCCACCCCTCCCACAGTGAATGGGAAAAAATGCATTCTTGACTTTTCTCAGAGCTCAAGTCTAGGCTTGAACCAGGACGGAGGGGCTGACTCTGCAGCCATAGTTCTCTTCCTCCTCACCTCTGAAAAGCAGCTCGAGGCTCACGGGCTCCAGGAAGGCCCCCCGGAGCAAGCCCATCCCTCCTGCTTCTCTTGTCCTCCACGACCTTCTGGATTCCACAGTGTGAACGGCTCGCACGTGCCTGTGTCATCATTGTTTTCGCTCCGCACAGATTGCCAAGCCCTGGCCCGCATGAGGACTCGGATCTGTGAAACGTTTGCGTCTTCACCGAGCCTGGCGCCCAGCTCCCCTCGCCTGGTAACAATGCCACTCCGTCCGTGTTCTCCATCCTTCCAAAGAGCTGCCTCGCTCCTCCCTTTGCGGCACCCATTTTACAGAGGAGGAGCTGCATACGATGTGTGGACAAGTCAGACCCGGACCCAGCTCTCACAGAGAGAAGGGGGACCCTGCCGTCAAAGTAAGGACCTGGATAGCAACACCAATATGAATAGCAGCATACCCACATGGAGAATGTTCAAAGTGTGTTTATGTCCCTTGTATCGCTTTGACCCTGTGAGGTGACAGAAAAGACACTGACGATTCCATTTTATAGTTGAGGAAACTGAGGTGTAAGTGGCTTTCCAGGGTTACACACTAGCAGGTAAGTCCTTCCTTACCCCACGGCTAGGAAGGACTTCATTTTGCAGAGAAGGAAACTGTCAGGCTGGGGTCTGCCCAAGCTCCCATAGCAAGAGCAAAGAGGGGACACAGGGGTGTCCTCCTACTCCACCAGCTCATGGGCAGGAACCCACTTTTCTGGGCAGCCGGGGGAGCCCACCCCCATCAGCCTGTACCACGCCAAGGCCTTCAGGACATCCGACCACAGTGTCACCTGCTCTGCCATCACTGCCTTGGCAGGTGCCCCGCTGTTGTGCAACCAGGCACGGGGCCGGGGCTGGCTCCATAAAATCAACCGCTGGTTGGCTTGAGCTGGCTGATTCTGCCCCCCTGGAGCTCAGCTGTGACAGCAATGAATCACATTCATGGGGAGAGGTGGCCATTCCTCCTCTTTGTGGCCTGGAGACAGGTATTTCCAAAGCTCCTTCCTTGGCTCATACACCTGACCTCTCTTCCCCTCTCTGGGCCCAGGGTGAGGCAGAGAAGCCAAGGGCAAGGTGGGGTGAACCAGAAAGGGCTGGAGCGCTCTCCCACCCCAGCCCTGCCCAGCTACCCATGCCAGCCCGAGATCCTGGGGAGGGCAGAGCCCCCCGCCCAGAGAAAGGGGACAAGAGCCTGGTGACCTTGGGGTGTGCTTCAGCCTGGCCTCCCCCTCACTACCCCTCCCCTCCCAGCTGCTTGCATGCTGCCTCTGACTTTCCTCCAAGAACAATTTGGCAAGTTCTAATCTATAACCTGCAAAAAACCCAGGGAGGCGGGAGGGCCACAGCACCTGGGGGCCCAGAAGGTGGACTGGCCTATTTTTATAGCAGTGTTAAGTAACACAAACACCCCCATGCAAGGAGACTTGAAAATCTTTGGAATGGAATTCATGGGGGCAGGGGGAGGAGTTGGGAGACAAAGTGTACAGGACACCTGAGGTTACTATCTGAGACCAGGGGGCTCAGCATTCCCTTCTGGGAAATGGCACAGCAAGAAGCTCTCCTATTCACCGGGCTACATTCGCCACATTAAACCAAAGCACAAATATAAACGAGTGTCAGGTGACAGGAGGCTGAGTAAACAGACAGACAAGGTCCTGCCCTCAGGGAGGTATACAGCACTGCGAGTTCTGATCTGGGTGAAGTCCTCCGCCCAGCAAGGGCTCGATAAATGTCAGCTGCTGGTATTCTTCTTCTTTATTGCTATTTTGATTATCAGTTTCTTTTTTTTTCTTTTTTTAGTTTTTTTTTTCCCGGCATATTATGGGGGTACAGATTTTAAGGTTTCAATAAATTGATTATCAGTTTCTTCGACTGTTCTCTATGTGTCCTGTTTCCAGACCATTTGCCTCCCACAGGAGCCTCCTCGGGCACAGTCTAACTAGCTGATGTCCTGAAAGGACGAGCCGTCTGGTCACCGCTCCCTGGATCTGAGCACCAGCCTTCTCCTGGAGGAGGCCAGGCCACGTGCTATA